GGCACCTGGCAGGCAACAGGCACATGCTGGCTAAGTGGGAGAAAAATGCCCACTGGGCCAGGCGCAGTGTTTCATGCCTGTAATCCCAGCACTTTGGGGATGCCGAGGTGGGCAGATCACTTGAGGTCAGGAGTTGAAGAACAGCCTGGCCAACATGGTGAAACCTCATCTCTATTTAAAAAAACAAACAAACAACAAACAAACCCAAAAAATTAGCTGGGCGTGGTGGTATGTGCCTGAATCCCAGCTACTCGGGAGGCTGAGGCACGAGAATCGCTTGAACCGGGTGGCAGAGGTTGGCAGTGAGCCGAGATGGTGCTACTGCACTCCAGCCTGGGCAAATAGGGCGAGACTTTGTCTTCAATTAAAAGATAAAAGAAAAGAAAAGAAAAGAAAACGCCCACTGACAACAGGACACTCTTGTGATCTTCCTCATCCACCATCCAAACTGCAAAAACTGCCCATCCTAGGCATGTTTGGAAGATGTTTAACAACCATTTATCGTGGGGCTTAATGCAGCCGGTTCCACCCTCACGAAACACAGGCATCCCTAAAAATACCTCACACTGCAAATTCATACACACAATCAAACCACAGGGCTCATGGGAAAATGGAGGTCAGGGCACAACCATCCAGATGTCACCAATGGACACCCTAAAAAACATAGGCACTACTAAAAAATGGTAGTGCCATTGGTATAAATGTTAAACGGTTATGAATTTCAAGAATATGGCCGGGGCGCGTGCCGTCACGCCTGGTATAAATCCCAGCACTTTGGGAGGCGGGTGGATCGCTTGAGTCCAGAAGTTGAGACCAGCTTGGGTAAGATGGCAAAACCCTGTCTCTACTAAAAATACAAAAAAAAAAAAAAATTAGCCGGGCATGGTGATACACGCCTGTGGTCTCAGCTACTCCGGAGGCTGAGGCAGGGAGGATCACTTGAGCCTGGGATTTGAGGCTGCAGTGAGCCCTGATCGTGCCACTGCCACACCAGCCTGGACAACACAGTGAGAACCCATCTCAAAAAAAAAAAAAAAAAAAAAAAAAAAAAAAAAAAAAAAAGATTACAACGAATAACGTATCAACCTTGGAAAAGCCCAAGGCTCGCTTGTGGAACCTGGGCGGGGGGAGGTGGCAGCCTGTGAAGGGCTGGGAGGAGATCATCTGAAATCAGGCGCATATTGTAACCTCAGACAGGGACGGGGTGGCCTCCCGGCATACAGGCAAGGCACTGAGGGAGCACACCAGATGCTGGAGAGGGTGCACGTGTGGTTTTGTGCATTCCTAAGTGGCTGCGGTCAGCCAGGTGCAGTTTTCTGCATTCGTACCCAATGTTTCTTGCAGACAAAAATCTCACATAAGCGAACACAACATTGATTTTATGCTCAAATCATTCCTAATGCATCCATCGTGTCAGAACACATCTGTGCTTTCAAAACAAGTTGATAAAGTGGAATTGACTGTACTCCGCCCCATGGGTAATTTCAACCTACTGGGCGTGAAGTGATTAAACACAGAGTAAGGACGAGATGTGTGTTATTACAGATATTTCACCACGCATAACCTCAAGAGTACAGGAGACTGTAAAATGTAGTAACATGAAGAAGTGATAGTTGTGAGCACTTCCAGCGCCTTTGCTATTTATTTTTTTATTTGCGACCAGTCTCACTCTGTCGTCCAGGTGGGAGTGCAGTGGCGTGATCTCAGTTCACTGCAACCTCTGACTCCTGGGTTCAAGCGATTTCCCTGCCTTAACTTCCTGAATAGTTGAGATTACAGGCATGCACCACCAAACCTGGCTAATTTTTTGTATTTTTAGGAGAGATGAGGTTCACCATGTTGGTCAGGTTGGTCTCAAACTCCTGGCTTCAAATAATCTGCCCACTTTGGCCTCCAAACTGCGGGATTACAGCATGAGCCACCTCGCCAGCCATATTTTTAATACACGTTGAGCATCTCTAATCTGAAAATCCAAATTCCACAAATGCTCCAAAATTTAAAAATTTTCAGTGCCAACATGATGCTCAAAGGAAACACTCACTAGAACATTTCAGATTTCAGATTTTCAGATTAAAGATACTCTGGGCACGATGGCTCATGCCTGTAAACCCAGCACTTTGGGAGGCTGAAGCAGGTGGCTCACTTCAGCTCAGAAGTTCGAGACCAGCCTGAGCAACATGGAGAAACCCTGTCTCTAGAAAAATACAAAAATTAGCCAAATGTGGTGGCATGTGCCTATAGTCCTAGCTACTTGGGAGGCTGAAGTGGGAGGATTGCTTGAACCCAGGAGGTGAAGGTTGCAGTGAACCAATATCGCACCACTGCACTGCAGCCTAGGCAACAGAACCAGACTCTCTCTCTCTCTCTCTCTCTCTCTCTCTCTCTCTCTCACAAACACACACACACACAATACTCTACCAGTAAGTATAATGTAAATATCCCCAAATCTGAAATATTAAAAATCTGGAACATTTCTTGCACTTGCACTGACCATTTTGGAAAGTGCATTTTAGATTAGGCATTTTTTTTTTTTTTGAGACAGGGTCTGGCTCTGTTGCCCAGGCTGGAGCGCAGTGGCCCATTCTTGGCTCACTGCAACCTTCACCTTCCTGATTCAAGTGATTCTCATGCCTTAGCCTCCCAAGCAGCTGGAATTACAGGTACCTGCCATGACACCCAGCTAATTTTTGTATTTTGTAGAGACGGGGTTTCACCATGTTAGTCAGGCTGGTCTCGAACTCCTGACCTCAAGTGATTCACCCACCTTGGCCTTCCAAAGTGCTGGGATTACAGGCATGAGCCACTGCACCCAGCCGATAATGCATTTTGGCTACTCAACCTGTATAATGTGTTTCATTGCAAATCTGTATAATTTAGTTTTTGGTGATGGCTTTGTTAACTCAGGCTTGTATAATTTATGGAACAGTATCAACTGACTCTTCTAAGCAGCGAGCTGAGCCTTCTCCTGTGTGCTGGTGAGGCAGTAATCTGTGTGAGGAGTGCCCGCTTTGAGCCAGGGGCTGGGGCCAGCAGCAAACGGGGGGCTCACATCCCAAAGAAGACAGACAGGAAGCAGATGTATACGGAATAATAAGACCATGCTCCGTGCTTTGTGTACCATGCACTCAAACTGGATGACCGGGCCATGCTAGTGATCTCACTGACTCCTGTTCACCCATCATCTAAATCAAGGGTCTCCAACCCCTGGGCCACAGACTGACACCGGTCTGATATTGGATGAGTAAGCAAAGCTTCACCTATATTTATAGCCTCTCCCCATTGCTCACTTTATCTCCCAAGCTCCACCCCCTGTCAGATCAGCAGCAGCATTAGATTCTCACAGAAGCCCAAACCCTATTGCAAACTGCGCATGTGAGGGATCTATGTTGTGTGCTCCTTAGGAGAATCTAATGCCTGGTGATCTGCCACCGTCTCCCATTAGGCCGGGCACAGTGGCTCAGGCCTGTAATCCCAGACTTTGGGAGGCTGAGGCGGGCGGATCACACAAGGTCAGGAGTTTCGAGATCAGCCTGCCACATGGCAAAACCCTGTCTCTACTAAAATAAAAAAATTAGCGGGGCGTGGTGGCGGGTGCTTGTAATCCCAGCTTACTCAGAAGGCTGAGGCTGGAGAATGGCTTGAACCCAGGAGGTGGAGGTTGCAGTGAGCTGAGATCACGCCATTGCACTCCAGCCTGTGTGACAGAGCGAGACTTTGTTTAAAAAAAAAAAAAAAAGGCCGGGTTGCCGTGCTCACGCCTGTAACCCCCAGCACTTTGGGAGGCTGAGGCGGGCAGATCACGAGGTCAGGAGATCGACAACATCTTGGCTAACACGGTGGAAACCCTGTCTCTACTAAAAATACAAAAAATTAGCTGGGCATGGTGGCAGGCCGCCTGTAGTCCCACCTACTTGGGAGACTGAGGCAGGAGCAATGGCATGAACCCGGGAGGCAGAGCTTGGCAGTGAGCTGAGGTCATGCCACTACACTCCAGCCTGGGCTACAGAGCAAGACTCTGTCTCAAAAAAAAAAAAAAAAAAAAAAAAAGGGAATATGAGATGGCCAAATATCACATGTGACATTGGGTAGGTGGAGATCTACAGTTTAGTGCTCACCTATTCTCACACAATGAGGGGAGGAGGACCCTGTACACTGGTACGAGGTCACACAGGGGTTGCACTTAGGAGCACAATGAACAACCAGGGGCTGTGGGAAGCAGGCTTTTGTAGTAATAAGAGGGTGAGGCGGCTCCTGGTCTCCTGGGAGGATATGATTGGCTTGTTTCTTTCTTTCTTTTTTTTGAGATGGAGTCTCGCTCTGTCACCCAGGCGGGTGGAGTGTAGTGGCGCAATCTCAGCTCACTGCAAACTCCACCTCCCGGGTTCAGCGATTCTCCCGCCTCAGCCTCCCGAGTAGCTGGGATTACAGGTTTGCGACCACCACACCTGGCTAATTTTTTTATTTTTAGTGGAGACGGGGTTTTCACCATGTTGGCCAGGCTGGTCTCGAACTCCTGGCCTCAGGTGATCCACCCGCCTCGGCTTCCCAAAGTGCTGGGGATACAGGCATGAGCCATTGTGCCTGCCATGGCTTGTTTCAATAACTTCTCAGCAGCTAGGGGAAGTGAAGTCTGTGGCTGATGGGTGGGGTACAGCTGGTCTGGTTGCTTGGTGAGACAGCCAGGTGGAGAGGCAACTTCTCTTGGCCAGGCAGGGGGCATATTTGGCGAGAGTAGCTGAACAGTTGGTCAGGACATCGTGGTCCTGTGTGGCTCAACCATGCCAAGGCAGCACTGACATTTTAGACCTTACAACACAGAACAGGCAGGAAAGGGCAACCTCAGGGCTAACCCTGAAGGGGAGAAGAGTGCCGGTCTTGTGATCCCACAGGGAAGTGCATCCCAGCAAGAGGAGAACAGCTGCAACCTCGGCCCAAGATGGTGGTGGTGGTGGGTGGGTGGGGGTCTGATGTATCTCAAAGGCCAGTGTGGCCAGAGCCCAATGGTCAAGGAGGAAGTGGAGGGGTCAAAGGCTGGCCTGGAGGCTGAGGAGTGGAGGTTGGCTTAGGTAGGAGTCAGAATTGGCCTGGAGGGGTGGCGGGGGCAAATTCGATGATGAGGGTGAGACCAGATGCTGCTTCTTGGTGCTAAATTTTTGCACCTCCATGTGAGTTTAGCAGCCTGCTTGGGGTGGCCTGGTCTGAGCTTGGAGGTAGGCAGCACTCCTCCTCTTCGGGCAGGAGCGACAGCTACTCAATCCACTCTGGCCCTGCATGCGTGCACACACCCACACACATCCACACACCATCATCAGTTACATCCCCTCTGCTTGTGTGCTCAGTGGCAGCAGGTACTGTATGTCCCCGGGTCCTCACCGCCCAATCAGGGCTGGTGCTGCCTGAGTGATCAGTGCTGGGTCCAAAGGCCGTGGACAGGGCTGAGAAGCCCCCAGAGGACCCCAATCCCTAGGGGGCAGGGAGGGGGGCAAGAGAAGCTTCCCTCGAATTTCCTGGAATGATCAGGAATTTGTCTGGCGAAGGAGGCAGGTAGAGGAGACAGAGCTTAGGCAGAAGCAGGCAGTGGAGTGGAACAGGTGTTGGAGGAACTGGGCTGAGGTCTCTGCCATCAAAGCCAGAGTTTGGATTTCGTCTCAATAAACGGGAAGCCCTGGCTGGATGTGGTGGCTCACACCTGTAATCCTAGCACTCTGGGAGGCTGAGGAGGGAGGATCATTTGAGCCCAGAGTTCAAGACCAGCCTGGGCAACACAGTGCAACTCCGTTTCTAAAAATATATACATATAAAAATTAGCTGGGTGTGGGCTGCACCTGTAGTCCCGGCTACTCTCCAGGAGTTTGAGGCTGCAGTGAGCTGTGACTGCGCCACTAAAATTCCTGCCTGGGCAACAGAGCAAAATTCTGGTCTCAAAAACATAAAAAATAAAACATAAAATAAACAGGGAGCCCCGAGGATTCCTGGCAGGAGGAGGTGTGGTCAGCACTGGAATTTTAGGAGGGCAGCCGGTAGCTGGGGGAAGGGGGCTCCACATTGGAGGGAGAGGGTCCAGGACTGGGACATGGTATAGGATGTGCCGCCTGCCAGTGGGACCTAGGACAGCAGGACCATCGCTGAAGTGGCCACACGGGGAGGGGCAGGAGGGGACACCCTGCTCTTGGAGAGAAAGGAGGTGCCCATCCATCCCTGCTGTATGGGAGGGGAAGGGGGACTCTGAGGCCCAGAGAGAGAGGGGACAGGCCCAAGGGATTTGTGGACATTGGGGGTAGGGGAGAGGGGAGATGAGAGGACAGATAGGGGCCTGGGCAGATGTGGGTCTGGAAGGTTCGATCCCTGGCTAGACTGTTTCCCCCAAAGGATCCTCTGCTCCTCCGGCTGCACGCACTGTACTGGGCACCAGATACAGGCCAGGGCCGGGCACAGCCGCCCCCTGTGGGATGGAGTTGCAGGCGGCGTCCAGACCCAGCGGCCCCTGGGGAGGGGTGGGCCCGGGGAGGGGGCCATAAGGGGGTGGCTGGGGAGGAGGGGGCGAGAGGCCAGGGGAAGGGGCAGGTTCCAAGTGGACGCTGGGTGGAGAGGAGAGGGCGGTTGGGGGTCGGGTCCGAGGCGGGGCTGGTGGGGACGGGGGAATCCGGGGGCGAATCCGGGTAGGGGGCGAGGAGGCGGGTTCGGGAGGAATTGGCAGGGCCCGGGTGGGTCGGGGAGTAAGTGGGGGGACGATCGCGGGAAGGGGATCGGGGCGGGTCAGGGTCCGGAGATGGGCGGAGCAGGCGTCCCAGGAGGGTGCGCCCAGGAGTGGGGCGAGCGGGGCCGAGCTGGGGCGGGCCCGGAGACGAGGCGGGTCCCGGGGAGGGGCTGGCCCGGGGCTGCCCCAGCTTGGCCGGGCGCAGAGCGGGGGCGCATGGCGCCGGGCGCACTGCGCGGGGGCTGCGAACAAAGGGCCCCGGCGGCGGCGCGAGGACGGCCGCCGCTCGGACTCTGGCCCTGGCCCAGCCCTGGCCCGGCCCCCTCCCCAGGCGCGCGCACCCCCGGAGCCGAAAAATGAGCTGCGCCCTGCTCTGGCCGTTGCTCCAGCTCCTGCTCCTACTGCGGTCGGCGCGGGACGGCGTGCGCGCCGGCAGCCTCAGGCCCCGTGAGTATCCCCGGCGACAGAGGAGGTCGGTCGCCTTCTGGGTGGGGGTCGTAGGGACTGGCTCAGAGGTCGCAGCGACCTACCCAAGGCCACACAGCCTCCGCGCTGGCTGGACCTGGCCTCTTGTTCCCGAATTGTCTTGGGAGGGGGCGCCCTAAAGTTTCCAAAGTGACTGTGGAGGTACAGGGACTTCCAAAAGCTAAAGGCGCTGAGGTCAGCTCCCCCCGCCCCACCTCGACCCCCTTCGTGTGACCGGGCTGTCATCTTGGGTGGCGATTTCCAGTTGTCCAAGGCATGAAGTAAAGGCACGTCTTGGCTTGAGAAGTGGGAGGAGAGTGGGAACGGGCAGTTTCCCGTGGGTGGGCGTGGTGAGGGGGGAGAAAATGTTTGTTTTGCTTCTACATTTTTCTAGAGGTTTTGCTTGCAGGCTCCTGGTGGTTGATGGCGGGAGAGAAGGTGAATTTACTAGCTGCTGGGGAGAACTCCTAAGTTGGCTTCACAGAGAATATTTTCTAAACCTGGCAAGTTCTGGTGAGCTCTGCAGGGCTGTGGGTTCAGGGGGGCTGCCTTGGTCTGCACAAGCCCAGCCTTTTAGTCCAGCTGGGCGTTTAGAGGCGGCTTGTTCAAGCAGCCCTTGTTTGGAGTTTCAGAAAGCTGGTAAGCAGTGAGACTAGGTGGGTGTCGTTATTTGCTGTGAGTACCTGGTCCTTGCTGTTACAGTTTTATAAAGCAAGACAGTCTACTGCGCTCTGAGCATCCAGACTTTCCTCTCCTAGGCTTCGTGAAATAGGAACCCCTGCAATTTTTCATCCTGATGCTTCTTTCAAGCTGACATCCTTAGAATAGTGGTTCTAAGCCCTGGGGTGGGGGTGGAGTGGGGATTTTCTGTCTCCCTGAGGCCATTGGGAAATGTCTGGAGGTATTTCTGGTTGTCACAAATAGGGGGAGGCATTTGGTGTTGGCGTCAAGTGAGCGCAGGTCAGGAATGCTGGTAAACAGCTTTGGATGCGCAGGTCAGCTTCCACCACAAGGAATGACACGGCCCCACATGACAGACCTTGGGTCCAATGACAGACCCTGCCTTATAAAGAGGTGTTTTTAAATTTTTTATTTTTTTATTTTTGAGACGGAGTTTTACTCTTATTGCCCAGGGTGGAGTGCAATGGCATGATCTCGGCTCATTGCAGCCTCTACCTCCCAGGTTCAAATGACTCTCCTGCCTCAGCCTCCCGAGTAGCTGGGATTACAAGCATGTGCCGCCACACCCGGCTAATTTTTTGTATTTTTTTAGTAGAGATGGAGTTTCTCCATGTTGGCCAGGCTGTTCTGGAACTCCTGACCTCAGGTGATCCACCCACCTCGGCCTCCCAAAGTGCTCGGATTACAGGGTGAGTCACTGTGCCTGGCCCGTTGGAGAATTTTAAACAGTTCTCCAGGGCGTTTGCCTCTGACTAAAGTCACCCTGGGATCTTACCATCTGTTAAGTGACATGGAATCCCTGTACTGACAGACACACTGGGGAAGAAACGTCCCCAAATGACCGACCTGGGATTCCAGAGTAGCTGGCCTCTAAACCAGGGGCATAGTTCACCCAGCCCAAAGGATCCCGTCTTAGGAATAGCTCTGGATGCCCACTTCTGTGACCTGAGAGATTTTTGTGTGAGGAATTTCTGATCCCAGAAAGCAGCATAGCTTTGCAGTTGTAAAAGCAATTCTGTCTACACTGACCCGGACATCACTTTCCCCAATCTGGACCTTCTGAGACAGCAGGATGAGAAGCCAGTGTTGGCCCAGATGCTAGGGGTGGGGTCAGGTGTGATAGTGAATGGCTGGCAGGCATCCCAACAGCTGGAAACAGCCGCAACTTCTGAATGGCAGGGAAATGTATTTGGTGATGTCAGGTTCTCTGGGCAGTTGGAAGTAGACTCAACCCATATTGTTAGGACTTTCAAAGGTGACGAAGGCAAAATGAACACTTATTCCTCATTCTGTCTTCTATACTCACCACGTACTATATGTGAGGCTAAGCTCTAGGGATCTGCTGGAGCCAGACATAAAAGTATGTCCCTTCTAAAGGATGCCACATTCCTGTGCTAGAGCTGGACAGGACACCTACAAAACCCAGGGTAATTGCGTGTCCTGGTCAGTGCTGGAGTTATGTAATACACAGCACACACCTAGGGTCTTGCAAACTCCAGTTGGTCCTAGAGTTGGACAGCACATGTGTGACCCCAGGGGACTGAACTCTGGTAATTATTCAAGGCAGATGGAGCACACTATGATCACAGGGTCAGTGCCCACTGTGGCCAGGGCTGCAGTAAACAACCCAAACCCATTGTTCGTGTGCATGAAACAACACAAACCCACTGCCGTCTTTTGAGATACAAAATTTGTAATGATGTTTTCATGAAGTTTGGTTTATCATGAGTTATTTTATGGATAGTTTTGGTATCTTACCCAAGAAATCTTTGCCTAATCTAAGCACGCAATGACTTTCTCCTTTGTTATCTTCTAGTGCTTCTACAAGTTTTACTTCTTCAATTTAGATCTGTTACTAAGATTAACTTTGAGTTAATCTAATTGCATGATGTGAGGTAATGGTCTCAATTCACGTGGTCTCAATGCACGTGGATGTTGGGTTGTTCTAGAGACACTATTGAGGCCAGGTGCAGTGGGCCTGTAATCCCAGCACTTTGGGAGGCCAAGGCGGCCAGATGACTTGAGGTCAGGAGTTCAAGACAAGCCTGGCCAACATGGTGGAACCCTGTCTCTACGAAAAATACAAAAATTAGCCAGGTGTGGTGGCACACTCCTGTAGTCCCAGCTACTCTGGAGGCTGAGGCAGGAGAGTCCCTTGAACCTTAGAGTTGGAGGGTACAGTGAGCTGAGATCACATCACTGCACTCCAGCTTAGGCAACAGAGCAAGATTCAGTCTCAATTAAAAATAAATAAATAAATAAATAATAAAATATATTGAAATGAAAATGTCTCCTAATCTCATTGCATGGTCCAGTTTTCCTCTTTACCCTCTTTTCTTCGGATTTCCATCATGCTACATGGTTGCAATTGTGGTGCCTTTGCTATAATGCTCTTGGTGATTGTGGGGACACTGTAAGCATTTCATGAGGTTACATGGCCTTTGTAATTTTCCAGGGAAGTCTGCAGATACTGGAGACAGGAGCTCAGGTGGGGAGGACCTGGGTCCTCAGGTCATGTCCCTTAAGGACACCCCAGCACCCTCTTCTGCTCAGCTGTGTGATCTGGTGCATGTTCCTATCCTTCTGAAGCATCAACTTCCCATTGGGAAAGTGGGGGTAATGCCTCCCTTCCAGAGGTGACTTCATAGTCAATCAGAAGATTTTAGGAAAGAGACGCCTGCCTTGATTCCATCGTTTTCAGAATTTTTTCTGTTTGAGACCCTATAGTTTGTTTTCAGGGTTTGTTCTTAAAATGAATGTTGCAAAGAAGCCCTTTGCTTCTTTTTATCAGGTTCTGGAGTCTGGCTGCCTGAGTTAGAATCCTGGTCTGTCACTGTTGGGGCTAGTGACTTGACTTCTCCAGGGTTTCCTTTCTCTCTGAATGGGGCTGATGTCAGTACTTCTCATGATGGTGGGGGTGGGGGTGCACTGTGAGGATGAAGTGGGATCCTGCTGGTTACCTGACTTGTGGAGGAGAGTATTTCAGACAGTGGGCATGACATGTGCAAAGGTCCTGGGCCAGATGGGCTGGGCATGGTGGCTCACGCCTGTAATCCCAGAACTTTGGGAGGCTAAGGAGAGTGGATCATTTGAGGTCAGGAGTTTGAGATCATCCTGGCCAACATGGCAAAACCCTGTCTCTACTAAAAAGACAAAAATCAGCCAGGCTTGGTGAGAGACACCTGTAATCCCAGCTACTCGGGAGGCTGAAGCACGAGAATCCCTTGAACCTGGGAGGCGGGGTTGCAGTGAGCCGAGATCACGCCACTGCACTCCAGCCTGGGGGACAGAGCAAGTCTGTCTCCAGAAACAAAACAAAAACAAACAAACAAACAAACAAAGGTCCGGGGGCAGAAGGAAGTAGCTGAGCAAACAGCCTGGAGGCTGGAATACAGAGAGTAAGAGGGGATGTGTGATGCTGAAAAATCCAGTGAGGCCAGATTCTTACCCAGCATGGGGACTTCAGAGGTGAATGAGCCAATCCCTGGCCTCAAGAAATAATGTGGGGGGAACAAACTCCTAGAGCATCAGTGCCAGCCAGGTGTGGTCAGGAAAAGGCAGGAGTCTGCTGCGGGGAGAGCCCTGACCTAGCCACGGTGGTAGCGAGGCCAGGGGGCTGCGGGTGAGAACTTCACCTCGGATCTCCTTTCCTACAGGGGTTACCTGATTGCAGCTCCCTCTGTTTTTCGCGCGGGCGTGGAGGAAGTCATCAGCGTGACCATCTTTAACTCCCCATGGGAAGTCATAGTCCAGGCTCAGCTGGTGGCCCAGGGTGAGCCGGTGGTGCAGAGCCAGGGAGCCATCCTGGGTAGTCCCTTGGGTGCCGGACCAGGACTTCCCCATCTTTTGCAAAGTGGAGCCACTTGCTGGCCTTCAGGACTGGGACAGTGTGGGTGTTGCTTTGCTTCCCTTCTGCCCTAAATCCCCAGGGGCACAAGAGGGAGGGAGGGAGGGAGGACAGGTTGCAATCTCCTCATTCTACAGATGGAGAGAGTAAAGCCCAGAAAGGGCAGTTCAGCTCACAGTTCCTCAGCAGCCCTAGTTGTTGGGTGCAGATCTGGGCAGAGTGGGGGCACCCACCTGTGTCAGCTTTGACCAGAGGTGGACAGGGGACCTGGAGGAGATCACGTGACTCCCTCCGACCTTTTGTTGGGTTTCCAGCACACCTGAACCATTAGACTCAGACCTGGACTCACAGGCCTGTTACTAAGTGCAGCTCAGGCCCTCAGCCAGTCTCTCTCCCTCACTCCTTGGTCAAATTCAGACAGCAACAGCCTCAGCCTCCTGGGCAAGATGGTGAATGAGATCCCTGGCCCAGAAAGCTGCAGTCTCCCAGGGGAGGTAGACTCATTCCTCATGCTGAGAATGATGTAGCCACAGGAGACACAGACAAGGTCAGGGGCTCCAAGGCCACTGAAGCAGCACTTGTCTCCTGGGGAGATGTGGTCAGAGAAGGTGAAATGTGGAAGCTTCTAGAACCTTCTAGAAGTCCTTCTAGTCCTAGAAGAATCAGGTACTCCTGACTTGGGTGGCTAGCTAACTGAAACCCAACTCCAGTTGGCTTCTGCAACAGTTTATGGTCTCTCATAACTAGAAAGAAAGTCCACCGGTATTTCTGCCTGGCTTCTTGCCCTATCTCCTGATGCAGCCAGGTCTCCCCTTAAGATCAGGGGAAGCACCAGTTTCCCAAGATGGCTGGATAAAGTCCCAGGATTCCCTCTGATTGGCCTATCTTGGGTCATATGCTCAACCCTGAGCCAATCACTGTGACCAGAGGTGATGACCTGTGCTGATTGGTTCATTTTGGATCATGTGCTCAACCCTGAACCAATCACTGTGACCAGGGGAAGGCCTATGCAGATTGGCTTAGAGCCCCAGGAAGGTGGATGGAGAGCTTAGGAGACTCGTGGCTTGTGTGCTGGGCAGTTAGCTTGTCTAAGGGAATTGAAGATCTGTTAGCAGGAAATGGGATGATTGTTGCTGGCAGGCAAAAATAATAGATACCTAATTGAGTCCTGGAGGCCAGAACCTAGTACAGTACCACAAATGATTCCATGTGGGTAGCAGAGTGAGGTGATGGGAGAACAGGCAGGTCCACTAGGGACCTCGGTCCCCTCTTCTTTCTCTCCACCCTTCTCCTTGTTCCTCTCCCCTGGTGTTTTCCCATTACTCCCCTCACAGCTTACTTTGGGCAGGAGCCAGGGGTGAAGTAAATCAAGTACTTAGGCAGGCCAGCTTTCCCTTGAATAGCTCAGCTTTGTCCATCCCCTCTGGCCTTCAGCTTGTGCCAGCTTGGAGGAAACCTCTGGCTTCTGCCAGAGGCCCAGCCTGGCCCAGGCCAGGCCAGCATGACCCAGGGTGTGTTTGTCCACATGAAACCCCTTTGGGTTCAGAAAGTTTGTGGTTTGTGAGACTGCAGCTCAGGGAGGCGGGGCAACACAGCTCTCGATTTAACTTTTTTCATTTTATTTTCATTTTTAGATAAAGGGACAATCAAACTCAAGGTAAGCTGTTAATTTTTAAAAGCATAAACCTGACCTTGGAAACAAAGAATTGAATTGGAATGGAACAAAAGAAATTGCATGTGTTGTGAGAAAAATCATTTTTAAAAAGAAGATGTAAAAAATGAATAATGAGGTTAGTGCCATGCTCACACCTGTAATCCCAGCTCTTTGGGAGGCTGAGGTGGGTGGATCTCTTGAGCCCAGGAGTTCAAGGCCAGCCCGGAAAACATGGTAAAATCCTGTCTCTACAAAAAAATACAAAAATTAGCCATTAGCCAGGCATGGTGGTTCACGCCTGTTGTCCAACCACTTGGGAGGCTGGGGTGGGAGGATTGCTTGAGACTGGGAGGTTGACGCTGCAGTGAGCTTTGATCGCACCACTGCACTCCAGCCTGGGCAACAGAGTGAGACCCTGTTTAAAAAAAAAAAAAAAAAAAAAGAATAACGAAATTTAGAAAAGGAGAAATCCACCGATAATCCAGTTTTTATACTTTTCACTTTTTCATGTTTTCCACACATTCTTGTTCATGCACATACATTTCCTTTTCCAGTTTCATTTTTCTTTTCCTGGTTTCATTTAAAGGACACACATCATTGGCCGGGCTCAGTGGCACATGCCTGTAACCCTAGCACTCTGGGAGGCTGAGACGGGTGGATCTCCTGAGGTCAGGAGTTCGAGACCAGCCTGGCCAACATGGCGAAACCCCATCTCTACTAAAAATACAAAAGTTAGCTGAGTGTGGTGACGCACTCCTGTAATCCCAGCTACTCTCGGGGAGCTGAGGCAGGAGAATTGCCTCAACCCAGGGGATGGAGGTTGCGGTGAGCCAAGATCATACCGCTTCACTCCAGCCTGGGTGACAGAGCGAAACTCCATCGCAAAAAACACAAGACAAAACAAACACCATGGTGTTTTCCTATTCCCTCTTATCACATTGTTGTAACAACTTCTATGTTTCCAAGTCTCTGTAATTGGAATTTCCATCTTATTGTAAACAACATCCTATTGCACCCCTCTTAGATATCAATTTGCTAAGCCCCCAGTTTGCACAGGTTAGATTTTTTTTTTAGATTGTTTCAGTGTTTTTTTTTTTTTTGAGATGAGGTCTCTCTCTGTCACCCAGGCTGGAGTCCAATGGTACAATCTCAGCTCACTGCAACCTCTGTCCCCTGGGTTCAAGCGATTCTCATGCCTCCGCCTCCCGAGTAGCTGGACCTCAGGCACGCATCATCACGACTGGCTTTTTTTTTTTCTTTTTCTTTTTCCTTTTTTTTTTTTTTTAGTAGAGATGGGGTTTTACCATGTTGGCCAGACTGGGCTGAAACTCCTGACGTCAAGTGATCCACACACCTTGGCCTCCAAAGCGCTGGGATTACAGGCATGAGCCACCCTGCCTGAGCTGTTTTTAGTGTTTTGATACCGTAATCTGTAAGTCGCCAGAATGTTTGTATGTAAAGCTGTATTGGCATTCTGGATGCCTTCTTTAGGCTAAGCACCCAGATAGAAGAATTACCAGCAGGACCCAAGCCTCTCACTGGGTCTTGCTGCGTCCTAGAATACACGGCAGTACCTGTTCATGGAACCACCTGCAGTGCATTAGGGATCAAATTTCTCCACTGCCTCTCAGACATTGAATATTGTTATTTTTAAATTATTATATGTAATAAACTATGTAAATAATTCTATGACATGGGTTTTCAAACTGGAGTCCTTGGATTTCAGAGATTATGTAAGCCCTGAAATTGCAGGCATTGAGGGGTTAGCTATTCCTTAACTTTTACCACATGCTCACAGGAGTCTACAAATGAATGGGCTAAATTGAGAATTATTTTAATTGTAATGCGCCCATCTCCGTTGATCAGAATGGAGACTGAGGTGGTTCCTTTTGTATGAGGTATACCACTAGTGCCTAATTGCTGCGGAGCAGTGGTCTTCCTGCCTTACTTTTTTTTTTTTTTTTTTTTTTTTTTGAAGCAGTCTTGCTTTTTCTCCCAGGCTGGAGTGCAGTGGTGCAATCTTGGCTCACTGCAACCTCCACTTCCCAGGTTCAAGTGATGCTCCTGCCTCAGCCTCCCCAGTAGCTGGGATTACAAGTGTGCACCACCACACCCGGCTAATTTTTGTATTTTTAATAGAGATGGGGTTCATCATGTTGGCCAGGCTGGTCTCGAACTCCTGACCTCAGGTAATCTGCCCACCTCAGCCTCCCAAAGTGTTGGGATTACAGGAGTGAACCACAGCACCTGGCCTCTCCCTTATGTTTGATGATAGAACCCTTTCTCTAAGGCAGCAGTTCTCACTCAGGGGTGCTTTTGCCCTACAGGGGACATTTCATAAAGTCTGGAGACGTTTTTGGTTGTCACAGCTGGTGTGGGGGCTGGGCAGTGCCAGGTGCTACTGGCATCTGGTGGGTGGAGGCCATGGCTGCAGCTCAACATCTTACAATGCACAGGATCCCCTACGGCAAAGAAGGATGTGGCCCCAGAAGTCCACATTCAGGAACCCCTGAACCAAAACCCTAGAGCAGCAGTCCCTAACCTTTTTGGCACCAGGGACCAGTTTCATGGAAGACAGTTTTTCCACGGACCAGGGAGCAGAAGAAATGGCTTCAGGATGATTCACGTGCATTCCATTTATTGTGTGCTTAAATTTCTATTATTACGTTGTAATATGTAACGAAATAATGATATAACTCACCATATGGAAGAATCAGTGCAAGCCCTGAGCTTGTTTTCCTTCAACTAGATGGTCCCATCTGAGGGTGATGGGAGACAGTAACAGATGGTCAGGCATTAGATTGTCATAAAGAGCACGCAACCTAGACCTCTCCCGTGCACAGTTCACAATAGGGTTCACACTCCTATGAGAATCTAATGTCGCCGCTGAGCTGATGGGAGGCGGAGCTTAGGCAGTCATGTGAGCGATGGGGAGTGGCTGTAAATACAGATGGAGGTTCATTTGCTCACCCACTGCTCACCTCCTGCTCTGTAGCCCTGTTCCTAACAGGCCACAGACTGGTACCAGTCTGTGGCCCAGGGGTTGAGGGTCCCTGCCCTAGGGCTTCAATACCTACAGAAGCATAGGGAAAAAGAGAAAAAAGAAGTCCCTAGAGCTCCCTTTCCTGGCTTCCTGTCATGAGATTTCCCTCCCTCCTTTCCTTCCTTCCTCCCTTTCTTCCTCCTCCTCCTCCTCCTCCTCCTCCTCCTCCTACTCCCTCCTCCTCCTCCTCCTCTCTTCTTCTTCTTCTTCTTCTTCTTCTTCTTCTTCTTCTTCTTCTTCTTCTTCTTTTCCTTCTCCTCCTTCTCCTTCTCCTTCTTCCTCCTCCTCTTCTTCTTCTTCTTCTCCTTCTCCTTCTCCTCCTTCTCCTTCTCCTTCTCCTCCTCCTCCTCTCTCTCTTTTTCTCTCTCTCTCTCTTTCTCTCTCTCTCTTTTCCTGGCTTCATGTGGTTTGATTTCTCTCTCTCTCTTTTGGAGACAGAGTCTCGCTCTCTTGCCCAGGCTGGAGTGCAGTGGTATGATCTCAGCTCACTGCAACATCTGCCTCCCGGGTACAAGTGATTTTCTTGCCTCAGCCTCCTGAGTAGCTGGGACTACAGACGCCCTCCGCACCATGCTCAGCTAATTTTTGTATTTTCAGTAGAGATGGGGTTTCGCCATATTGGCTACACTGGTCTCAAACTTCTGACCTCAAGTGATCCGCCTGCCTCAGCCTCCCAAAGTGCTGGATTACAGGTGTGAGCCACCGCACCCAGCCTAGATCTGCTTTCTTATGAGTCAGGAAGCCATGCTCCCTGGAGCAGGTGTTAAGATGACGTGCTGTCCCTGGCCATCACACGTTAGAAGACACTCTTCACAGTGCAGATGCTGGGAATTTGTAAGAGAGACTAACAAAGGGTTGTATAATTCTGGAGAGGGGCCAAGGGCTCTTAAGACTAGACTTGCAATTCCCAAGAAAGATGCTTAAGATCCTTAGCATTTGGCCACACACAGTGACTCATGCCTGTAATCCTAGCTACTTGGGAGGCCAAAACTGGAGGATCGCTTGAGGCCAGGAGTTGGAGACCAGCTTGGGGAACATAGTTGAGAGCCTGTCCCCTGTCTCTACAAAAATAAAAATAAAAAGTTAGCCGGGCATGGTGGCCTGCGCCTGTAGTCCCAGCTACTCAGTAGGCCGAGGTAGGAAGATTGCTTGAGTCCAGGAGATGGAGGCTGCGGTGAGTCGTGATCGCACCACAGCACTCTAGTCTGGGCAACAGAGCAAGACCCTGTCTCTAAAAACAGAAAGAAGGCTGGAAGTCCTTCTTCCCTTCTGTCCCTGTGGGGCGCAATCTGCTCCCGGGGAAGGGGTGAAGCTCTAGGGGCTGCCGGTTGGGTCGACCCCCCTTATGAGCTCAGCACAGCCTCTTGTCCCCCACCCTTCCTGTCCCTCCAGCGTACGGTCCTCAGCCCCTCCAGTATTTCCCTCCTGCTCATCCTCGCCCTGCTCCTGGGTGGCCGGCACCTTTCGTCCCTCTTCAACCTTTGGCCAATGCTGAGATATTTCCAGAAACAGGGCCAGGTGAGGATTTTGGGATTGGAGTAGCAGGTGAGATTTATTGCTCTGGTAGGTCTTGACAGGGAAACTGCCATCAGAAAAGACCTCACAGGTCCAGAAGGCCGATCCTGCGGGTGGCGGGTAGAAGAGGTCCCTCTGAGAGCAGACAGGAGGTGGGTGGCTGGAGAGAGGCCTGAGACAGACCTTGTGTGGCTGCAGAGAGCAGGAGTCCTAGTGCACCCCGACCTCACCCACGCAATGGTCATGACAGTGCAGAACTGTGACGATCAGTCAGATAATCCAGTAGATTGTTCCCCGTGATGGTCACTAGGGTCCATCCACCCCTTGAGGGACCACGCGAGTAGATGCTGACATAGGGGTCCTCAGAAGAGGAACACGCCACAGTTGGATGGTTTTATTTTTAAATTATTTTTAATTTTTTATTTTTTGAGATGGAGTCTTGCTCTGTCACCTAGGCTGGAGTGCAGCTGCACCATCTCGGCTCACTGCAACCTCCACCTCCTGGGTTCAAGCAATTCTGCTGCCTCAGCCTCTCTGAGGTGTGGGATTACAGGCACCCGCCACCACACCTAGCTAATTTTTGTATTTTCAGTAGAGACGGGGCTTCGCCGTGTTGGCCAGGCTGGTCTCAAACTCCTGACTTCAGGTGATCTGCCTGTCTCAGCCTCCCAAAGTGCTGGGATGACAGGCGTGAGCCACTGTGCCCAGCCATTTGGGTGGTTTTAGGAACAGGGGGTGCACATAGCTCCCCAGGTGATCTGCTGGGAGGTAATGCCCACCTGCTGGGTGCCCAGGGATGGCCAAGAGGGTAGCTATCATCAAATGCCGGTCACATAGAGGGAGGTAATATGGTTTGGCTGTGTCCCCACCTAAATTTCATCTTGAATTGTAGCTCCCATAATTTCCACAGGTTGTGGGAGGGACCCAGAGGGAGATAATTGAATCTTGGGGGCGATGTCCCCCCTACTGTTCTCATGGTAGTGAATAAGTCTCACAAGATCTGATGGTTTTATAAGGGAAAATCCTTTTTTTCTTGGCTCTCATTCTCTCTTGCCTGCCACTATGTAAAACGTGCCTTTCACCTCCCACCATGATTGTGAGACCTCCCCAGCCACGTGAAACTGTGAGTCCATTAAACCTCTTTTTCTATATAAATTACCCAGTCTCGGGTATGTCTTTATCACCATTGTGAAAATGGACTAATACCGGAGGCATTCTTTTGTTTGTTTTAAGCATGAAAGGAGCTTTTTTTTTTTTTTTTTTTTTTTTTTGAGACGGAGTCTCGCTCTGTCGCCGGGGCTGGAGCGCAGTGGCCGGATCTCAGCTCACTGCAAGCTCCACCTCCCGGGTTTACGCCATTCTCCTGCCTCAGCCTCCTGTGTAGCTGGGACTACAGGCGCCCGCCACCTCGCCCGGCTAGTTTTTTGTATTTTTTTAGTAGAGACGGGGTTTCACCGTGTTAGCCAGGATGGTCTCGATCTCCTGACCTCGTGATCCGCCCGTCTCGGCCTCCCAAAGTGCTGGGATTACAGGCTTGAGCCACCGCGCCTGGCCGAAAGGAGCTTTTATAGTGCATGACTCACATGCCAGGGCGTTCTGCCCATCTGCTTAAAAAAGATAAGAGGACGGCTAAGTGCGATGGCTCACACCTGTAATCCCAGCACTTTGGGAGGCCGAGTCAGGAGGATCACGTGAGCCCAGGAGTTTGAGCCTAGCCTGGGCAACACAGCGAGACCCCATCTCTACCAAAAAATAAAATAAATTAGCTGGGCATGGTGGTGCCCGCCTTCAGTCCTGGCTTCTCAGTAGGCTGAGGCAGGAGGATCGCTTGAACCCAGGAGTCTGAAGCTGTAGTGAGCTCTGATCGCATCGCTGGACTCCAGTGTGGTGACAGAGCAAGATATTGTCTCTAAAAACAAAAGAAAGAGAAAGAAAGGAGGAAAGAAGGAAGGAAGAGAGGGAGGGAAGGAATGTGTAGTGTAGGAAGGATGGAAGGAAGGAAGGAAGGAAGGAAGGAAAGAAGGAAGGGAGGGAGAGAGGGAGGGAATGTGTAATGAAGGAAGGGAGGAAGGGAGGGAATGCATAGTGAAGGAAGGAAGGGAGGGAGGGAGGGAATGTGTAGGGAAGGAAGGAAGGAAGGAAGGAAGGAAGGAAGGAAGGAAGGAATTGTGTAGTGTAAGCTCCATTCTGAAGACTGAAGTGTTTTTTTTTTCGGTCCCATCTGTGTGGCAAAAAACAAACTAAACCAACAAAAAAGCCATCTAACCATTCTAAAACGTGTAATTCAGTGGCATTTAGTACATTCACAGGGTTGTGCAACTCCCCTGCCCATCTAGTTCCAGAAGATTTTCATCCCCCACAGAGGAGACTGTGTCCCCATCAGCAGTCACTCCCCACTCCCTTCTCCTAGCCCCTGGCACCCACCAATATGATTCCTGTCTCTGTGGATTTCCTTTTCTGGACAATTCAGATCAATGGAGTCATGCACTGTATATGTGTTGTGATTTTTATTTTATTTTATGATTTTATTTTATTTCATTGTATTTTATTTTATTTTTTGAGGCAAAGTCTCGCTCTGTCACCCAGGCTGGAGTTCAGCGGTGTGATCTCAGCTCACTGCAACCTCTGCCTCCCAGGTTCAAGCGATTTGTGTGCCTCAGCCTCCAGAGTAGCTGGAACTACAGGCGCCTGCCACATGCCTGGCTAATTTTTTAAAAATTTTTTACAGAGACGGGGTTTCACCATGTTGGCTGGGCTGGTCTTGAACTTCTGGCCTCAAGCCATCCGCCCGCCTCAGCCTCCCGAAGTGCTGGGATTACAGGTGTGAGCCATCATGCCTGGCTTGTGCTGTGATTTTATTTGTATTATTTGTTGATTTTTTTTTGGAGATGGAGTTTCACTCTTGTTGCCCAGGCTGGAGTGCAATGGTGAGATCTCAGCTCATTGCAACCTCTGCCTCCTGAGTTCAAGCTATTCCGCTGCCTCAGCCTCCCAAGTAGATGGGATTATAGGTACATGTCACCAGGCCTGGCTAATTTTTTGTATATTTAGTAGTGATGGGGTTTCACTGTGTTGGGCAGGCTGGTCTTGAACTCCTGACCTCAGGTGATCCGCCCACTCCAATCTCCCAAATTGCTGGGATTACAGGTGTGAGCCATTGCGCCCGGCCTGTGCTGTGATTTTAGAGTGAGGCAAACACGGACACATACATATGATAGATATATCTGGACATGTACATATATATATATATCAAGGGATCAAGGTCTCCTTCCACTGCTCACAGGCTGTGAACTCACTTGGCAAGAGGGGAGACAGTTCTAACTCTGCAGTGGTGATGAGCGGAAACAGCTTGGCAACTCTGTTGAGTCAGAAGAGAAGGCTCCATAACTAGACCAGCGTTTCTCGGCCTCAGCATGGCTGATAGCTGGGGCAGGCTTGGCACCGTGGTTCATGCCTGATATCTGAGGCTGAAGTGGGAGGATCGCTTGAGCCCAGGAGTTCGAGACCAGCCTGGGCAACAGAGTGAGACCTTGTTTCTACAAAAAATAAACAAAATAAGCCTGGCCTGGTGGTGCATGCCTGTAGTCCCAGCTCTTCAGGAGGCTGAGATGGGAGGATTGCTTGCGCCCAGGAGGCCAAGGCTGCAGTGAGCCGTAACTGTACCACTGCACTCCAGCCTAGGCGACAGAGATAAACCCTATCTCCAAAAAAAAAAAAAAAAAAAAAAAAAAAAAAGATATGATCGGGTGCAGTGGCTCACGCCTATAATCCCAGCACTTTGGGAGGCCAAGGCAGGTGGATCGCTTGAGCCCAGGAGTTCAAGACCAGTCTGGCCAACACTTGCCTCTACAAAAAATACAAAAATTAGCCAGGCATGGTGACGCACACCTGTAATCCCAGCTACTCAAGAGGCCAATGTGGGAGAAACACTTAGCCTGGGAGGCAGAGGTTGCAATGAGCTGAGATAGCGCCACTACACTCCAGCCTGGGCGACAGAGTGAGACCTTGTCTCAAAAAAAAAAAAAAAAAAAAAAAAAAGATGTTTGGGGCAGTTTGCCGAGGGCAGGGGTGTCCTGCGCTCTGTAAGATGTTGAGCAGCCTCTCTATTCCCCTCTCAAATGACCGTAGCAATCCCCACCCCCAAAGCTATGACACCCCAAAACATCTCCAGAAACTGCCGAGTGTCCCCTGGGTGACAGTCACTCCTGGGGTGAGTTCTCCATTCTAGACTCCAAACTCCTTTCCCAGTATCTCAGCCCATTCCAGGGTGACATTCTCATCCCAAAGCTCCTTCCTCTGCCTGTAGGTGCCCACGGGCCTCCGGGGCCAGGCGCTTCTGAAAGTGTGGGGCCGCGGCCGGCAGGCGGAGGAGGATCCCCTCTTTCACAACCAGACCTCGGTGACCGTGGACGGCCGGGGTGCCTCCGTGTTCATCCAGACAGACAAGCCTGTATACAGACCCCAGCACCGAGGTGGGTGGCTGGCACGGATGCAGGGAGGGCCGGCCGTGGTCTGGAGGTGTCACATGCCTGTCTTCTTTCTTCTAGTGCTCATAAGCATCTTCACCGTCTCCCCAGATCTGAGGCCTGTCAACGAGAAGGTGAGATCAGCTTCTAAAACCGCGGGCCCGGAACATATCCACTTGGGACCCCCTAGCCAGGGCCACCATTGGAAACTGGTCTTTCTCTCCAGACCTTCTCTTTCCTATTTTCTTTCACAGTTCCATGCCCCCTGGAGAACCCCAGGAAGTTCTTGGTGACAGAGGAAGGCTGGTGGGCGTGCCTGGCCCACTGCTCCTCAACAAGGAATGCCTTTGAGGGCTTTAGGTAGCCCTGCACTGTGGCTTAAAAAAATTTGTTTTTTTTCCAAGACCGAGTCTCTTGCTTTATTGCCCAGGCTGCAGTGCAGTGGCGCGATCTTGGCTCACTACAACCTCTGCCTCCTGGGTTCAGGTGATTCTCTTGCCTCAGCCTCCCGAGTAACCCAGATTATAGGCACCCACGACCACGCCTGGCTAATTTTTTTTTCTTTTTTTTTTTGAGATAGAGTCTCGCTCTGTTACCAAAGTTGGAGTGTAGTGGAGTGATCTTGGCTCACTGCAACCTCTGCCTACTGGGTGCAAGGAATTCTCCTGCCTCAGCCTCCTGAGTAGCTGGGATTACAGGCGTGTGCCACCATGCCCAGCTGATTTTTGTATTTTTAGTATAGATGGGGTTTCACCATGTTGGCCAGGCTGGTTTCAAACTCCTGACCTCAGGTGATCCACCCGCCTTGGCCTCCTAAAGTGCTGGAATTACAGGCGTTAGCCACCAGGCCTGGCCACATTTATGTGCTTTCTGTCTAGCCCTCCTCTCTGTGTGTATATGTATATATACTTACAAAATTATTTTAATGATAAATCATTTGAGAATAACTTACAGATATTGTGCCTTTCTGGCCCTGAACACTTGGCCTGTATCCTTTAAGAGCAGGGTCGTTCTCTTATACAACTCAAGGAGGATCATCACATTTAAAAATTTTGAGGCTAGGCACAGTGTCTCACCTCTGTAATCCCAGCACTTTGGGAGGCTGAGGCGGGAAGATCGCTTGTGGCCAGTAGTCCGCGACCATTCTGGGCAACATAGCAAAAATGTCTTGACAAAAAATTAAAATAATACAAATTAGCCGAGCATGGTGGCATGCGCCAGTAGTCCCAGCTGCTTGGGAGGCTGAGTCAGGAGGATCTCTTGAGCCCAGGAGTTTGAGGCTGCAATGAACTGTGATTGTACCACTTGAACTCCAGCCCAGGCAGCAAAGCACAACTCTGTCTCTAAAAAAAACACAAAATACCAAAAAAAAAAAAAAAAAAGGAGGAAAATAATTTTGACATTGACACAATCATAATATCTAATATAAAATCCATGTTGTTCCAATAGTAACCTTCGTAGCATGTTTCTTTGCTGGTCCAGGATCTGATCCTGGGTCATTTGTTCATCGTGTCTCTTGGTCTCCTTTAATTTGAATTAGTTCCTCACTGCCTTTCTGTGTCTTTCATGACATTGACATTTTTGGCAAGTCCAGGCAGTTGTTTTGCAGAACGTCCCTTAGTAGGATGGTCTTCTGGTTTCTTGTGACCAAGTTCAAGTTGCGAATCTCGGGCAGGATCCACAGAAGCGATACTGGATCCTCCCTGGTGCCTTGTCCTCCCTGGTGCCTTGTATCGGGAGGCACCCGGCATGGGTTTGTTGTGTTGCTGGGGACATTAATGGGGTCCAGTGGTTCAAGCAGTGCCTGCCTGGGTTCCCCTTTTGAGGGTCCTTTTCTAAAGACCCTACTTGGGATTAGGATTTAACGGATGTAATTTAGGGGGACACTGTTTAACCCATAACAGTGAGTGCTTGTCCCGGGGACTGAGGCCATGCATCAATGATGCATGAGCATGTTGGAAGGGTTTGGGGTTTGCTGGAAGATTTGCTCACTGCATCTGTGTCTTCATTACAGCTGGAAGCCTACATCCAGGTGAGTGGCCTCTGTCCCTCCTCGGCTTGGACTTGGGGCCCGGGTAGCCCATCTTCTGCAAGATCTGGTGTGTCTTCGCTCACTGTCTGCCTTCTGGGTTGAGCCACTGTGCCTTACAAGGCTGGGACCCAGAGTCTTCTATCCTGGTCCCTGGGTCCACCCTGGGATGGGCTGAGTGTGTGTCTGTCCGTTTCCTTTTTTTTTTGAGATGGAGTCTTGCTCTGTTACCCAGGCTGGATTGCAGTGGTGCCGATCTTGGCTCACTGCAACCTCTGCCTCCTGGGTTCAAGCGATTCTCCTGCCTCAGCCTCCCAAGTAGCTGGGACTATAGGCATGTGGCACCATGCCCAGCTAATTTTTTTTGTGTGTGTCTTTTTTGGTAGAAATGGGGGTTTCACCATGTTGGCCCGGCTGATCTCAAACTCCTGACCTCAGGAGATCCACCCGCCTCGGCCTCCCAAAGTGCTGGGATTACAGGTGTGAGCCACCACCCCCAGCCACATCCATTTGTAGGTTTGTTTGTACACAGCTCCCTAAATGAGGAAGCAGGCCCAGCCCGTCCCCTTCTGCTTTTCAAATCCTTCTCTATCCAGACCTTTTTACTTTTTTGCCCTGGGGTTAATGATTAATCTTGGAACCTTCGCTGCATGGTTGACATGCCCAAGAGAGAGGACTGGGAAAATCCTTACACTGGGCACACGCTGGGCTAGCCTGAGTTCACTCCGTGTGTCTGCCCCTCTCCACCACCAACAGGACCCCAGAGGCTCTCGGATGATAGAGTGGAGACACTTGAAGCCGTTCTGCTGTGGTAAGTTTCTTCCTCTGCAGCTTGAGGGCTGCAGATGTGATAAACCTTCCGGGAAAACAGAATATGCTCTGTCCAGGGCCCCCTCCCTAACGTACCCCCACTGCTGCCCCAGCTGGAGAGGACCAAGGAGGAGTGGAGGGCAGGTACCCACCTGGGAGGTGATGATGCCATGGGTTTGGATCTAGGAGCCTCAGCCTGGCCCACAGCACCTTCCCTGTGGATTTGGACCCTCTGCCCATGTTTCTCTGTGCCCAGGACTCAGGCAGGGCTCCGGCTCAGAACTCAAGACCTTTCTGGAATACTGGAGCACCTGCTCTCACCTTGTTTTTTTATTTTTTGAGACAGAGTCTCTCTCTGTCACCCAGGCTGGAGTGCAGTGGCGCGATCTCAGCTCACTGCAATCTCTGCCTCCCGGGTTCAAGCCATTCTCTTGCCTCGGCCTCCCAAGTAGCTGGGATTACAGGCACGTGCCACTAGGCCTGGCTAATTTTGGTATTTTTAGTAGACACAGGGTTTCACCATGTTGGCCAGGTTGGTCTTGGACTCCCAATTTCAGGTGATCTGCCCACCTTGGCCTCCCAAAGTGCTGGGATTACAGGCGTGAGCCACTGTGCCTGGCCTCAGCCTCTTTTCTTCTGTTCCATCTTCCCTGTCTGCCTTCTTTACTCCCTCTTGTTCGCTCAATTGCTCTCTCTGTATCGCAGATATTTGTTGGGTACCACATAGATACTGCCATGGGGTGAGCTTTCAGCCCAATGCGGGGAGCAAACACGAACTAAACAGCCTGGATGATGTCAGTTGTGATGAGTGCTAGGAAGGAGAAGTTCAAAACTCAGAGAGGGCAAACAGGGCTGTATCCCATCCTGGGGTGGCAGAGACAATCCTGGAAGGCTGCCTGGAGGAGGATCCTTTTCAGCAACAAAGAAGGAACGGGGGACGGCCAGGCAAAGCAAGGGGGCCAGGAAGCATGTCCCAGTCAGGGACCCGATGTATGGGAAGGGCTGTGGATGTCTAGGGGAGTGAGGTTGGAGACAGTGGACAGGACAGAGATGTTGAGCGCTGAGAGCAGGGGTGACGCTGGCATGAACTAGGGAAGAGAATGGACTTGATCTTTTTTTAAAAAACTTTTTTTTTTTTTTTTAAAGAGGCAATTTCTGTCTCATGTTGTCACCTAGGCTGGAGTGCAGTGGCGTGATCATAGCTCACTGCAGCCTCTACCTCTTGGGTTCAAGTGATCCTCCCACCTCAGCCTCTTGAGTAGCTGGGACCACAGGCACATGCCATCAAGCCCAGTTAATTTTTAAAATTTTTGGTAGAGACGAGGTCTCAAGATGTTGCCTAGGCTGACTTGATCTTAAGAGCACAGAGTTGGGGGAGAGGTCAACCTCCTGTTTAAAAAAACCATTTGGGGCCTAGCTTGGTGGCTCACACCTGTAATCCCAGCAATTTGGGAGGCTGAGGTGAGTGGATCACCTGAGGTCAGGAGTTCAAGACCAGCGTGGCCAACATGGGGAAACCCCGTCTCTACTAAAAATACAAAATTAGCCGAGTGTGGTGGCAGGTGCCTGTAGTCCCAGCTATTCAGGAGGCTGAGGCACAAGAATCGCTTGAACCCGGGACATGGAGGTGGCACGAGCTGAGATCATGCCACTGCACTCCAGCCTGGGCAAAAGAGCAAGACTCTGTCTCAAAGAAATAAAAAAATAAAAAAAAATCTTTGGGATGTGTGTAGACCCATGATTCTCAACCAGGGTGACAGTGCCCCTCTCTCAGGGAGCATTTGGCAAAGTTGGCCACAGACCCCTTACAAAACACGTGCTCAGGACACACATCCCTGAATGTCCTCTAACCATCAAAGGCCCACTTTGTCTGAATATGCGGAGGAAAAAGCCGTTTTAGCCGTCACATCTTCTGGCTCCAATGTGATTGGGAGAAGCTGTGGGCGCTGCTGTGGGTTTTGGGTTCTGTTGTGAGACCCAGGGGAACCACTCTTCCTGTCCCCTCCCTGTATGGCCCTCCCCATATGATCACTGGGGACAGGTGGAGCGTGTCACACTCAGGAGTAGAAGATCCCCTGGCAATGCCTAGAGTCAGTGTGCCCTTTCCAACTCCTCCACGGCTCCCAGTGAAAACAGAGCTGCGGACGGGGCTCAGAGGCACAGGTGCAAAGCAAATGCCAGGTCCCATGTCAGTGGCTGATGGTGTTTCCGGGGGGATGTTTGGGGGAGAGAGTGCTTTGTGCTAAAGTGTGTGCGTGCTCTAGTTCAGTTAGGGGTGGTTTTCACAGAGGGGTGGGGAGTCGGGCGGGAGATTCTGCCCCCAGGGGACATCGACAATATCTGGGGACATTTTGGCTTGTCAGGACTTTTGTGGAAGACAAGGGGTGCAATGGGTGTTTGGTGAGTGGAGGCCAGGGATGATGCTCAGCATCCCTCAGTGCGCAGGACGCCCCCGCACCACAATGAATGATCTGGCCCTAAATGTCAGTAGTGCCAGGGCTGAGAAACCCTGTCCTGGCAGGAGACCCTGTCTGTCTTGTCTGTTTCTCACTCTGTCTCTCTCTCTCTCTCTCCATATATATATAACATATAATATAATATATAACATAATATATTATATATTATGTACATAATATATTATATAATATATTATATAAATAATACATAATATATTATATATAATATATTATATAAATAATACATATAATATGTATTATATATGTTATATATAGCATAATATAATATATATTATATAGCATAATATAACATACCGTTGTATATGTTATATATAACATATATAACGTTATATATAATATGTTATATATGTTATATATGTTATATATAACATAATATAATATATATTATAATATATAATATAATATATAATATATAATATAAATGTAATATATATTATGTTATATATTATATATGACATAATATAATATATATTATATATGTGTTTTTTTTTTTTGTTTTTTTTGTTTTTTTTTTTTTGAGGCGGAGTCTCGCTCTGTCGCCCAGGCTGGAGTGCAGTGGCGTGATCTCAGCTCACTGCAAGCTCCGCCTCCCAGGTTCCCGCCATTCTCCTGCCTCAGCCTCCCGAGTAGCTGGGACTACAGGCGCTGCCACCACGCCCGGCTAATTTTTTTGTATTTTTTTTTAGTGGAGACGGGGTTTCATTGTGTCAGCCAGGATGGTCTCGATCTCCTGACCTCGTGATCCGCCCGTCTCGGCCTCCCAAAGTGCTGGGATTACAGGCTTGAGCCACCGCGCCCGGCCTATATATGTGTTTTATATATATATGTGTGTGTGTGTATATGTGTGTGTGTGTATATATATGGGATTTCCACCCAGGGGTGACTTTGCCCCCTAGAGGCGATATTGGCAATGTCTGGGGGACTTTTTTAGGTCGTTAGATTGTGGAGGGCATTGGTACTACTGGCATCTGGTTGGTGGAGGCCAGGGATGCTACTCAGTATCTTATAGTGCACAGGACGCCTCCACCCCAGAGAGCCATGAGACCCCAGGTGTCAGTAGCGCCCAGGCTGGAAATGACTCGGGTTCGGGGGGATGGAGTGGATGAGCTGGGCTGGCTCATTTCTCTTGTTTGTCCAGCTCACTGCCTGCCCCTGGTCCTGGCTACAAGGCTGTCCCAGGAACCCCAGGTCCAGTCTCTTCCTGCATCCCTTTGAAGCCCGCCAGAGTCTCAGATCTGCTCCACTGGCGGGCTCCTGCAGGGTCCTGCTCTGCGCAGACCCCACCAGCTTCTCTGTGGTCTCCAGTTCTCCTGGGGGGCTGCCCAGGGAAGGAGAAGGAGCAGGGTCCTGGCTTCCTCTTCCTGTACCTCCCTATGCCCGTGGCTCTCTGAAAATGCCCTTGCCCAGGCACAAAGGGGTGTCTCTCTTCACACAGGCATCACCAACCTGAGCTTCCCCTTGTCCGACCAGCCTGTGTTGGGAGAATGGTTCATTTTTGCTGAAATGCAAGGCCACACGTACAACAAGTCTTTTGAAGTTCAGAAGTATGGTAAGTTGGAGAATCTCAGGGTCTTGGGATTTCAGATCTGGAAGAAACCTTAGAAACTGGTGAAGAAGGCTGGGTGCAGGGTATCTCGCCTGTAATCCCAGCCCTTTCGGAGGCCCAGGTGGGCGGATCACTTGAGGTCAGGAGTTCCAGACCAGCCTGGCCAACATGGTGATACCTCATGTCGTTACTAAAAATACAAAAATTAGCTGGGCGTGGTGGCATGTGCCTGTAATCCCAGCTACTTGGGAGGCTGAGGCAGGAGAATCACTTGAACCCAGGAGGCAGAGGTTGCAGTGAGCCAAGATTGCACCACTTCGCTCCAGCCTGGGTGACAGAGTGAGACTCTGTCTCAAAAGAAAGAGAGAAAGAGAGAAAGAGAGAAAGAGAAAGGAAGGAAGGAAGGAAGGAAGGAAGGAGAGGGAGGAAGGAGAGGGAGGAAGGAAGGAGAAGGAGGGAGGGAACTGGTGAAAATGGCAGTGAAGAAGTGGAGGATGACAGGAGTCCTCTTTTACTGAGGGCTTGTGATGATTGGGTATAGTTTCAGGGGATGGTCCTAGACTCTTGCTTTTTTTTTTTTTTTTTTTGAGGCAGGGTTTCACGCCCATCACCCAGGCTGGAGTGCAGTGCAGTGGTGTGATCCTGGCTCACTGAAGCCTTGACTTCCCAAGTTCAAGTGATCCTCCCTCCTCAGCCTCCTGAGTTGCTAGGACTACAAGTGTGAGCCACCACACCCGATTAATTTTTGTATTAGTAGAGACAGGGTTTTGCCGTATTGCCCAGGCTGGTCTCGAACTCCTGGCCTCAAGCAATCCTTCCGCCTCAGCCTCCCAAAGTGCACTCTTGCCTTTTATAGAGAAAAAGTATTGTAGGCCAGGCATGGTGGTGGCTCACACATGTAATCCCACCACTTTGGGAGGCCGAGGTGGGAGGATCGCTTGAGGCCAGGAGTTTGAGACCAGCCTGGACAACATAGTCCCTGTCTGTACAAAACTTTAAAACAATTATCTGGACGTGGTGGCACCTGCCTGTAGTCCCCACTACTGGGGAAGCTGAGGCGGGAGGATCGCTTCAGCCTGGGAGATCAAGGCTGCAGTGAACTGTGATTGCACCACTGCACTCCAGTTTGGGTGACAAAGTGAAACCCTGTCTCAGAAAAAAAAGATGGCCGGGCACGGCAGCTAATGTCTGTAATCCCAGCATTTTGGGAGGCCGAGGTAGGTGGATCACTAGAGGTCAGGAGTTCAAGACCAGCCTGGCCAACATGGTGAAACCCCATCTCTACTAAAAATACAAAAATTAGCCAGGCGTGGTGGCTTGTGCCTGTAATCCCAGCCACTTGGGAGGTTGAGGCGGGAGAATTGCTTGAACCAGGAGGAGGAGGAGGCTGCAGTGAGCCAAGATCGTGCCACTGCACACCAATCTGGGATTCACAGCGACACTCTGTCTCAAAAAAAAAAAAAAAAAAAGGATTCTTAGGCTCCTACAAGAGTTCTCTCAGGACCCGATTCTTTCTGGTTTTCTGGCTGCTTCAGTGTGTCACCTCGGCCCCTGGTGACAAGATGGCTTGACACTCCCAAGGCTGAGTCCAGAAGCAATTGGAGAAGTCAGTTCTCCGCTGCAGTCACCCCGGGGATGCCCCTTGTGGGCTCCCAGGGTCACAGGGGCTGGGAGGAGCCTCCTGGCCTCGTGTCCACCCTGGGATAGGCTGGAATCCACTACACTCTAAGCATGTGGTCTAAAAGTGACAGGAGGAGGCCCCTTGAGGAAAATGGGGTCCTGGTCCCCCAAAGATGAGAAATAGATGCAGCCCACAAAATCCCCAGGGCTGCTCAGCAGAGCGGTGTGGGTGGGCATAGTGTCAACCTCGGCGGTGGCCGGGTGCTGTGTCCTGCACCTTGCACGGGTGTCAGGGCCCCTGAGGCCACCTTAGGGACAGAAGCCAGCCCCTCCTCTCTGCTTTCTTGCTTCAGTGTTGCCCAAGTTCGAGCTCCTGATTGACCCGCCCCGGTATATCCGAGACCTGGACGCCTGTGAGACAGGCACTGTGCGGGCCAGGTGAGAAAGAGGGGCCCCTGGGGCGCACCGCGGGGCCCTTCCCCTTCCCCAACCATCACGCCGCTCCCTCAAGGTCGTTCCCCTCCTCTGCTGCCTCCCTCCCTCCCACATGGGTGTGCCCCTCCCTTCCTGGTTCCCTCCTCCCTGGGATGTGCCCCTCCCACTAGCATCTCCCTTTCGTGTGACTCTCCCCTGTGGGTGCTCCCTCCTTAGGATGTGCCCCTCCCCTTAGAGTATCTCCCTCCTCCCCCAGACTCCTCCCCTGTGGGCGTCCCCTCCCCGGGGTGTCCCCCTCCCACTAAAGTATCTCCTTCCCCGCTGGGCTCCTCCCCTGTGGGTGCCCCCTCCCCAGGATGTGCCCACTCCCTAGAGCATCACCCTTTCCCGTGCCCCTCCCCTGGAGGCGCCCCCTCCCTGCAGTGTACCCCTCTCCCTAGAGCATCTTCCTGTCCCCTGGGCCCCTCCTTTGCCCTCCCCTTCCCTCTGCCCCGACAACTGTGCTTCTCCCTCCTCCTACAGGCAGCACTTCTACCATGGCCTCCCTGCTCCCCCAAGGGTGCCCTGTGCCCCGCTCCCTCCCTCCCTCGTACTTGGTGTCTCCCTGCCACATGAACCTCTTGCACTGTACCCACCGCCTGTCTTCGTTCGCATGCTAGTGTCCCCACCCTTATGAGCACACCTGTCTCTCCAAAGCATGCCTCTCTCCCACTGTGTGTTCCTTACTCAAGTCCTGCCCTTCCCCTCTAAAATCTTCCCTCCCCAAAGGTCTCCCCTCCCCAAGGAATGCCCTACCCCCAGGGCGTGCCTCTCCTGCACTAGCATCTCCCTTCCCCAGGGCGTCCCCTCCCAACCCCACCATGTTCCCCCCTCCCCCAACGCTGCTCCCCGCCCTCTGTAGTCCTCCCTGGCACAAACAGCACCCGCAGCCAGCGTGCTGACCCGAGAGGGGTTGATCCTTGTTGTTTTTTTTTTAGACGGAGTCTTGCTCTGTCGCCCAGGCTGGAGTGCAGTGGCACAGTCTCAGCTCACTGCAACCTCTGCCTCCCGGGCTCAATCGATTCTCCTGTCTCAGCCTCCCGAGTAACTGGGATCACAAGCATGTGGCACCACACCCAGCTAATTTTTGTATTTTTAGTAGAGACGGGGTTTCACCATGTTGGCCAGGCTGGTCTCGAACTCCTGACCTCAAGTGATCTGCCCACCTTGGCCTCCCAAAGTGCTGGGATTACAGGCATGAGTCACCATGCCCGGCCTGCACTCTCTTATTTTGCTCCTGTTCCCCATGCACCGGCATTCCCTCTGCATCAGGAGTGACATACAGACATTTAAAGTTTCACCATCACCCCTGCGAAGGTAGTTTGATTCCCATTCTCTAGGTGAGGAAACTGAGGCTCAGAGAAGCCCTGTCCCTGGTTCAAGGTTGAGCTTAATAGGGCGCTTAGGCTCAGGTGCCCCTCAGGGACCCACAGTCGCTCATGCCTCTGCACTACTCTGCTCCAGAGGAGCACCAACCTAGCCTTCTCAGTTCCAGAGTTCCTCTCTGACCCTCGGTCTCTTTTTCTGTCCACCTGGAGGCTTGGTGCAGAGGATCGGAGGGCCTTGGCATCTTCTGTCCCGACTCCAGGCTGCAGTGGGGGGGCGGTGGGGCTGTCAGGACTGGATGCAGGGTGGGAAGGGAGCTGCATCCGTCACTGTACTAGTGGCCACACTGTGCCAACCTGGCCTTCCTGAGGCTGGGCCCTCCCTGCCATCTTGGCTGTGAAATTGAGCGTGCTTTATCTTTTTGTTCCAGGTATACCTTTGGGAAACCCGTGGCTGGTGCCTTAACGATCAACATGACTGCTAATGGTGTGGGGTACTACAGCCACGAGGTGGGACGCCCCGTCCTCAGAACAACCAAGGTGAGAAACAGGAACCCCTTCTACCCCCTGACTCAACCCCCAGGTTCACCTCCAAGATCACGCATTTTATTTTACTTTCTTTTATTATTATTATTTTATTTACTGCCTTTAAAAAAATTTTGATTAGAGACAGGGTCTCACTATGTTGCCCAGGCTGGTCTTGAACTCCTGGGCTCAAGCGATCCTCTGGCCTTTGCACCTGAAAGTGCTGGGATGACAGGTGTGAGCCACCGCTGTTTTACTTTCTGAAACAGTTATATGGCAGGGATTTTTCTGATGATAAAATTCCTGCAGGCTGAATATAGAGACTTTAGAAAATATAAAAAGGAAGAAAATAAAGATAACTTGCTTCTCCAATAGGTGGACACGACCACTATCGATATTGTGATGTGTTTCCTCGCAGGTTACTGTATGTAAAGTTAAAAAAAAAACCACCAATTTGGCCGGGTGTGGTGGGTCATGCCTGTAATCTCAGCACTTTGGGAGGCTGAGGCGGGTGGATTACTTGAGGCCATGAGTTCGAGACCAGCCTGGCCAACTTGGTGAAACTGCGTTTCTACTAAAAACACAAAAATTAGCTGGTCATGGTTGTGCATGCCTGTAATCCTAGATACTCAGGAGGCTGAGGCTGGAGAATCACTTGAACCCTGAAGGCAGAGGTTGCAGTGAGCCAAGACTATGTCACTGTACTCCAGCCTGGGCGACACAGCGAGACTACACCTCAAAAAACAAACAAACAAAAAAACATGAATAAACACTAATTTTATTCCTTGGAGTCCCAGCTTTTAATATTTGGAAGGCAGAGGCAGGAAGATCTCTTGAGCTCAGGAGTTCGAAGCCAGCCTGGGCAACATAGTGAGATTCCCATCTCTAAAATAAAATAAAAATGTAAACAATTTTATTGAGATATCATTCACATTGCATACAGTTCACCCATGTAGAGTGTACAGTTTGATCATCTTCATATGGTTGCAGAGTTGTGCAACCAATGCTGTTATCCAATTTTAGAATTGTTCCACCATCCTTCCCTACATCCTTCATGTCCTTTTGTAGAGAATCCCCATTTCGCTCCTCCAGTCCCTGGTAACTACTAATCTGTTTTCTGTCTCTGTGGATTTGCCAGTTCTGGACATTTCTGTGAATGAATCATACACTATATGTCCTTTTGTGTCTGGCTTCTCTCACTCAGCATCATGTTTTTGATGTTCATCTACATTGTAGCAGGATCAATACTTCATTCCTTTTTTATGGCCGCATCATATTCCCTGGTACAGATGGACCACAATGTGTTTATCCCTTCATCCAGTGGTGGACATTTGGGTTGTTTCTGCTTTTTGGCTATTATGTCTCATGCTACTATGAACATCCCTGTGCAAGTTTTTCTGTGGACCTACGTTTTTGTTTCTCTTGGGTTCATTCCTAGGAGCAGAATTGCTAGGTCAGAGGGTAACACTGTGTAACCTTTTGAGGAAATGCCAAATTGTCAATGTGGCTGCACTGTTTTACATTCCCACATGTTTAAAGTTTTGTAACCTTTTTTGGTCTTTCAGCATAATGTTACATTGTGAGTGGGCAACTGTACAACAGACACCCTCCTTCCTGGAGATTCCCATCCCTCTGTAGGTGCCCTGACATTAACCCTTTCAGCACTGGCTCTTCCTCACCTCCCACCCAAAGCTCCTTCTTAGTCCCTTTCCCACCTGGGACGTATCTGCTCCAGTGGGTTCCCCTCTCTTATATCTGAGATATCTTTAATTTAATTTAATTTAATTTAATTATTTATTGAGATGGAGTCTCGCTGCGTCTCCCAGGCTGGAGTGCAATGGCGCGATCTTGGATCACTGCAGCCTCTGCCTCCTGGTTCAGGCAATTCTCCTGCCTTAGCCTCCCAAGTAGCTGGGATTACAGGCACGCACCACCATGTCGGGACAATTTTTGTGTTTTTAGTAAAGACACGGTTTCACCATGTTGGCCAGGTTGGTCTTGAACTCCTGACCTTAAGTGATCTACCCCCGCCGGCCTCCCAAAGTGCTGGGATTACAGGTGTGCGCTACCACGCCTGGCCCATCGCTCTGCTCTCTGAGGCTTCTCTTCCATGGATTGGACACCACAACCCCCCACCTCTCCCATTCCTGCCACTGGCACCTTGGAGAATCCCAGCCATTCTCCTGGGATGCTACCAGCTCATGATCTTTGTCTTAGTTCTGTCGTTTCCGGAGTGATTTACTCCACAGCTCTTTCTGAATAAGGATTATTTGCCAAGTCCCAGGGTGGGATCCTGAGATAGGAATTGAATGAGGGAGTTCTGGTGCCCCAGAGTGGGGCTGAACAGGTTCAGATGCCCCCTCTGTTGCCTGGGCTGTGGGAGATTGTGTCAGCATGGGAATCTCTTTCCTCTTTTTTTTTCTTTTCTTTTTTTTTTTTGAAACAGTCTCGCTCTGTCTCCCAGGCTGGAGTGCAGTGGCTAGATCTCAGCTCACTGCAAGCTCTGCCTCCTGGGTTTATGCCATTCTCCTGCCTCAGCCTCCCCAGTAGCTGGGACTACAGGCGCCCGCCACCTCGCCCGCTCGTTTTTTGTATTTTTTAGTAGAGACGGGGTTTCACTGTGTTAGCCAGGATGGTCTCGATCTCCTGACCTCGTGATCTGCCCGTCTTGGCCTCCCAAAGTGCTGGGATTACAGGCTTGCGCCACCGCGCCCGGCCTCTTTTTTTTTTTTTCTTAACTCGGGCTGGAGTGCAGTGGCACAATTCAGGCTCACCTCAACCTCTGCCTCCTGGGTTCAAGTGATTCTCATGCCTCAGCCTCCCGAGTAGCTGGGATTACAGCTGCCCGCCACCACACCCAGCTAATTTTTTATATTTTTGGTAGAGATGGGGTTTTGCCATGTTGGCCAGACTGATCTCGAACTCCTGACCTCAAGTGATCTGCCTGCCACGGCCTCCCAAAGTGCTGAGATTAAAGGCATAAGCCACCTTTTTCCTCTTCTGCCCAATGGAGCCAACATCCATCTTCCCTGGGATGTTGTCCAGATCCAGTGAGGGACCCTCTGCACGGTCCCGTGGCATAGATTGGGTATGTCACCAAGTGTCCCCTGGCCCTCCAAGCAGCTGAAGAGTCTTGCACCTCAGGTGTGTGTTTCAGGGACATCCCTCAGGGACACTCCAACCCTGAGCGAGCACGGGCTGCGTTTTTCCTCCCTCCAGATCCTCGGCTCCCAGGACTTCGACATCTGCGTGAGGGACATGATCCCAGCGGACGTCCCCGAGCACTTCCGGGGCAGGGTCAGCATCTGGGCCACAGTGACCAGTGTGGACGGGAGCCAGCAGGTGGCGTTCGACGACTCCACCCCCGTGCAGAGGCAGCTGGTGGACATCCGGTACTCCAAGGACACGAGGAAGCAGTTCAAGCCGGGCCTGGCCTACGTGGGGAAGGTAACTTGGGGGTGACTGTACCACATCCCGCCCCAGGAACACCGTGAAACCACCACCACTAGCCACTAGCTCCGCAGTGGTGACTCAGCTGAAAACGGATCCCCTGACACAACCTTTGCGGAGTGTGGTGAGGGCTGGTGTTCCAGATGAGGGGCAGGGGACATTTTCCTCTATGGGAAAGGACGATCTACTCTATTCCACTTGGGCAGACATTTGAGTAGCCATTTATTTATTTACTTATTTATCTTATTTATTTATTTTTTTGAGATAGAGTCTTGCTCTGTCGCCCAGGCTGGAGTGCTGGAGTGCAGTGGCACGATCTCGGCTCACTGCAAGCTCCGCCTCCTGGGTTCATGCCATTCTCCTGCCTCAGCCTCCCGAGTAGCTGGGACTACAGGAGCCTGCCACTTTGCCCGCCTAATTTTTTTTTTTTTTTTTTTTGAGACGGAGTCTCGCTCTGTCGCCCAGGCTGGAGTGCAGTGGCGCGATCCCGGCTCACTGCAAGCTCCGCCTCCCGGGTTCACGCCATTCTCCTGCCTCAGCCTCCCGAGTAGCTGGACTACAGGCGCCCACAACCGCGCCCGGCTAATTTTTTGTATTTTTAGTAGAGACGGGTTTCACCGTGGTCTCGATCTCCTGACCTTGTGATCCGCCCGCCTCGGCCTCCCAAAGTGCTGGGATTACAGGCGTGAGCCACCGCGCCCGGCCGCCCGGCTAATTTTTGTATTTTTTTAGTAGAGACGGGGTTTCACCGTGTTAGCCAGGATGGTCTTGATCTCCTGATCTCATGATCCACCCACCTCGGCCTCCCAGAGTGCTGGGATTATAGGCGTGAGCCACCGCGTCCAGCCTTGAGTAGCCATTTATTAAAGCAGCTCCTCTAAGGCAGTCCTGTTTCTTCAATGGGTTCTTCTTTTTTGAGACACAGTCATACTCCATCGCCCAGGTTGAAGTGTAGTGGCTCCATCTCGGCTCACTGCAACCTCCGTCTCCCAGGTTCAAGTGATTCTCCTACCTCAGCCTCCTGAGTAGCTGAGATTACAGGCACCTACCATCAAGCCCAGTTAACTTTTGTATTTTTAGTAGAGATGGGTTTTGCCATGTTGGCCAGGCTGGTCTCGAACTCCTGGCCTCAAGTGAACCTCCAGCCTTGGCCTCCCAAAGTGCTCGGTTACAGGAGTGACCATCACTCATGGCCCTTCACTGGGTTGATTTTATCCCTGAGGACCTAAGTTGAGAGCCCTGCAGAGGTAGATCTCCTGTTCCTGAGACTGACAGGTGCAGACCTGTGTGACATTTTGAACGAGACTCTGCCTCCCACCCACCACTCAAGTCTTATGCACAGTAAATTTTGAGGCGTCCAGATGTCGTGATCCTTATATATGTTTTTTCTTAGAGACAGGGTTTGCTCTGTCGCCCAGGCTGGAGTGCAGTGGTGAGATCATAGCTCATTGCAGCTCGACATCCTGGACTCAAGCAATCTGTCTGCCCCAGCATCTTGGGTAGCTGGTACTGCAGGCATGAGCGACCAGGCCCAACAAATTTTTTATTTTTAAATTTTTATTTATTTATTTATTTTTGAGACAGTCTCGCTCTGTCACCCAGGCTGGAGTGCAGGGGCTCGATCTTGGCTAATTGCAACCTCTGCCTCCTGGGTTCAAGCGATTCTTCTGCCTCAGCCTCCTGAGTAGCTGGGATTACAGGCATGCCCCACCACACCCCGCTAATTTTTGTATTTTTAGTAGGGATGGAGTTTCACCATGTTGGCCAGGTTGGTCTCGAACTCCTGACCTCAGGTGATCCACCTGCCTCAGCCTCCCAGAGTGCTGAGATTGCAGACATGAGCCACGGTGCCTGGCTAATTTTTAAAATTTTTGTAGAGATGGGATCTTGCTGTGTTGGTCAGACTGGTCTTAAACTCCTGGGCTCAAGCAGTTCTCCTACCTCAGACCCACAAAGTGCTGGGATTGCGGGTGTGAGCCACTGCACCCAGTCATTATTATTATTTTAACTATTAAACTGGGGTAGGCTGGGCATGGTGGCTCATGACAATAATCCCAGCACTTTGGGAGGCCCAGGTGGGTGGATGACCTGAGGTCAGGAGTTCAAGACTAGCCTAGCCAACATAGTTCTGAAATACTGTCTCTACTAAAAATACAAAAATTAGCCAGGCGTGGTGGTGGACACCTATAATCCCAGTGACTCAGGAGACTGAAGCACGAGAATTGCTTGAATGTGGGAGGCGGAGGTTGCAGTGAGCTGAGATCACACCACCCCACTCCAGCCTGGGAGACAGAGTGAGACTCTGTCTCAAATGAAAAAACCAAAAAAATAAAAAAATAAACCTAGGGTAACTTCACCCCAGTTGCAGCAGCAGGAGTGGGGCAAGGCCAACAGAGCCCAGTGTCATGCAAGGAGAAAGTGGGCCACACCCCTGGCCCTGCATCTGCCTGCACCCAGTTCCCTTTTGCTGTCCATGAGTGATGCTGGCTGGCTGTCCTCACACTGAGTTCTGATCCTCTTGCTCTGCTTTGGAACCTCCTTTTTCTTCTCCATGCCAGTGTTGGAACCACCTCTATCCCATGCACAGAGACCTATCTCCTGTGTCCCTGGTTTTGAGGCCCCAGCTTGAGTAGAAACTAAAGTACCTTGTGCAGGTCAGAATGTGTGTGAAGAAGAGGTCTAGGCTAAAATTTGGTAAAGAGCATTTCACATATGACAGAAAATATCTACCATCTGCATTCAAGAAAGGAGTGGTTAGACTGGGCATGGTGGCTCATGCCTGTAGTTCCAGTGCTTTGGGAGGCTGAGGCAAGAGGACCACTTGAGGCCAAAAGTGTGAGACTAGCCTGGGCAACATAGTGGAGATCCAGTCTCTACAAAAAATAAAAATAGCCCAGGTGTGGTGGCTCACACTTTGAGAGACCAAGGTGGGAGATTGCTTGAGACTGGGAGTTTGAGACCATCCTTCAGCAATAGAGCAAGACCCCAGCTCTACAATTTTTTTTTTTTTTAATTAGCCAGGCATGGTATTGCACACCTGTGTGTCCCAGCTATCAGGAGGATGAGGCAGGAGGATTGCTTGAGCCCAAGAGGTAGAGGCCGCAGTGAGCTATGATCGGGGCCACTTCACTCCAGCCTGGCAACAGAGCAAGGACTCTGTTTCTCAAAAAAGAAAAAAAAAGAAGGGAGTGTTAATGAGGATCGTGTGGGCGAATCCTGATTCACTCCATCACCAAATACCTGCACAGCTGAGGGCTGTTTTAGGGTTCTTTCAGAAGCTCCTTTTAAAACATCCATGTCTGCCTCATTTAGCTGGCTCTCCAACCAGTCTGAATGGGTGAGGTTTAAGTGTCACACTGAACTGTCCATACCCTGATATGGCATCAGACTAATGGCCGGCACATGTAATTTTGTACTTCATGACCTCTTTGCAATCCAAGGGCATGAAGGTCTACCCTTATGTTTTCTTTAAGAATGTTATAGCTTAGCTGTTACATTTAGGTCTGTATCCATTTGAGTTTATTTGTGTTATGGTATGAGGTAGGGATGCAACTTCATTTTAAAACATTTTTTTTTTTCTTAAGAGACAGGGTCTCATTCCAGTCACCCAGGCTGGAGTGCAGTGGCACCATCATAGCTCTCTGCAGCCTTGAACTCCTAGATCAAGTGATCCTCCTGCCTCAGGCTCCTAATAGTGGACCATAGCGCATGCCACCATCCTGAATTTTTAAGTTTTGTAGTGAGGTCTCACTATGTTACCCAGGCTGGTCTGGAACTCCTGGCCCAAGTGATCCTCCTGTTTGGCCTCCCAAGTGTGGATTACAGGTGTGAGCCACTGCAACCACCCTTCCAGTCTGACTTGGAAGCCTCTTGAGTAGCTGGACCACAGGCACACGCCACCACACCTGAACCTGTGAGGGCCTTCTTTTTTGTTCCCTTAAGAATTTTTCCTATTGGGACCCGTTGGATGCCGGTGAATTTCAGGAGCAGTTTGTCAGTTTCTACAAAGAAGCCTGCTGGGATTCCAGTGGAGATTGTGTTGATTCTGCAGATCAGTTTGGGCGCATGCCGTTTAACTCTGTTGTCATTGGTGACCCTTTTCTAGGTGGAGCTATCTTACCCAGATGGCAGCCCCAGTGAGGGGTGACGGTCCAGACTAGGCGAGCTGACACCGAAGGGATAACATTTACACCAGTGTAGCTTGGTCCCAGGTGGACTGGTGTGGGTTTGAAATCCCCTCCATCCCCACGTCAGCCCAGCACGTGTGGCTGAGGTGGGGTGAGTCCCATGGACCCTTGTTATTCCAGTAGGTACGGACTTGGTGACTCCCTAGGCTGGGTGCAGGCACCTGATCAGTGGGCCTGGAGCCCATCCTAGCCCTACAGCAGTACACGTTCCACTGGACAGTGGGATGGACAACACAGCCATCCTGGGATCAGGTGGGAGGTCAAAGAGAGATAAGGGTGCCTGGACCGGTTGTAGCAAAGGAGTCTTGTCAGAGGGGATCTCTCCAAATGGACTCCTGACTATGGGGACGTCAACCAGGCTGCTTCTGGGAGGGTGGAACAGCCTGGGTGGAGGTTCAGAGGCAGACCGTGATTATATGGTCTCACAGGCGCTCAACCACATTGAGTCATTTTGGAAAGAGATTGGGTAGTGGTTTCCGCCACCTCGCAGAGGTGCTCTGTGGAAGGCAGTATCGGGGGAAAGAGTGATCTTATTTTTTATTTTTTAAGAGACAGCATCTCATTCAGTTGCTCAGGCTGCAGTGCAGTGGCACCATCATAGCTCACTGCAGCCTCGAACTGCTGGGCTAAAGCAGTCCTCCTGAGTTAGCCTCCCAAGTACCTGAGATTACAGGTGCATGCCTGTAATTAGCACCACACCCAGCTAATTTTTAAAATTTTCTGTAGAGGCTGGGCACGGTGGCTCATGCCTGTAATCCTAGCACTTTGAGAGGCTGAGCTGAGCGGATCACCTGAGGTCAGGAGTTCGAGACCAGCCTGGCCAACATGGGGAAATCCCGTCTCTACTAAAAATACAAAAATTAGCTAGATGTTGTGGCAGGCGCCTATAATCTCAGCCACTCAGGAGACTGAGGCAGGAGAATTGTTTGAACCTGAGAGGCAGAGGTTGCAGTGAGCTGAGATTGTGCCGTCGCACCCCAGCCTGGGCAACAGAGTGAGACTCCATCTCAAAAACAAACAAACAAACAAATCAATAAATAATAAATTTTTCTGTAGAGATGGGATCTTGCTATGTTGCCCAGACTGGTCTCAAACTCCTGGCTTCAAGCCATCCTTCCACTTCAGCCTCCCAAAGCATAGGGATTACAGGCCATGAGCCGCCATGTCTGGCCTGATCTGATTTTTGATACGCAGTGATCACTCCAGAGTCTTCAGTGAGGGGTGGCTCAGGGAGGGCCCAGGCAGGCAGACAGGAGGTGAGGACAGAGAGGTCCCTAAACTGGAGCTCTTGAAGAAGTAGATCCGGCAGGCTTTGATGTCCCATCATCAGGGGAGGGAAGAACAGGAGGGATTGGAGAGGATGTCCCAGCGCTTGGCTTTGGGAACTGGCAGTGGACCTGGCGGCCCTGCAGAGAGTAAATACGTAGATGGGAACTGAGGACACTGTGGTCACTTTGTCCTCTGTGGGCATCATGTCCCTAAAGGTTTTAACTACCGAAGCCACTGCCTTTGCCACTCGACATTCACAGCCAGATGTGTTCACGCTTTCTTGTGTTGGATCTGCTGCTCGACACACAGCAGCTGTTTGGTCACCTGGGCCACTGTTCTGTTTTTTTTTTTTAAATGTAGAGTCTTGCTCTATCACCTAGGCTGGAGTGCAGGAGTGCAATCTTGACTTATGCAACCTCCGCCTCCCAGGTTCAAGTGATTCTCCTGCCTCAGCCTCCCAAGTAGCTAGGATTACAGGCGCCCCCCCTCCGCCACCACACCTGGCTAATTTTTGTATTTCTAGTAGAGATAGGGTTTCACCATGCTGGTCAGGCTGGTCTTGAACTACTGACCTCAGGCAATCCACCTGTCTCGGCCTCCCAAAGTGCTGGAATTACAGCTGTGAGCCACTGTGCTGGGCCCACTGTCCTTTTTTTTTTTTTTTTAATTGTTTGTTTGTTTGTTTGTTTTGAGACGGAGTCTCGCTCAGTCGCCCAGGCTGGAGTGCAGTGGCGCGATCTCGGCTCACTGCAAGCTCCGCCTCCCGGGTTCACGCCATTCTCCTGCCTCAACCTCCCAAGTAGCTGGGACTACAGGCGCCTGCCACCATGCCCGACTAATTTTTTTGTATTTTTAGTAGAGATGATTTTCACCATGTTAGCCAGGATGGTCTTGATCTCCTGACCTCGTGATCCCCCGTCTCGGCCTCCCATAGTGCTGGGATTATAGGTGTGAGCCGCCGCGCCTGGCCCCATTGTCCTGTTTTAAGAAAATGACCATAGCCTGGCATCTCTCAGACTCCTTGAGGAACCAGAGATCTGCCCTGCCCACCCCCTACCAGGTGGGAGGTTGCAGTGACTTCTGACACCAGCTACCAGAGCTGGGCCACACGTCACAGGTGATGGGTACAGCCCTCTCTACAAGACTACCCTGAATTCTGACACCAGCTGCAAGTCCAGGGGTCCCCGGGCCACCTGTGCTTCCCACCCACTGGCTGCAAATTCCACTACCCCACCACCTTTTAATTACAGCTTTACCATAGCAAAATGACTCAAATTAGAACCAACCAAAGAGAAAGATGCATAGAGCAAGGTCTGGGCGATTCCCAGATTGGAAGCTTTGTGTGTGCTCTGTACAGAACCAGGATATATCATCCCCACAAGTTGAGCATTGCTAAGCAGGAAAGTTCACCTGAGCTTTGGCATCCAAAGTTTTTTGTGGGGAACTCATTTCATCTGCATGATTGATTAAATCATTGGCCATGGGACTGATCTCAGTCTCCTGCCCTCTCCCTTCCCTGGAGGTGGGCTGATATCCTGTGGCTCAAAGCCCAGCGGTCTAATCACACAACTGGCCTTTCTGGTGTGGCCCATTTATACCCTATTTAGAGTCCCAGGAGCCAGAGACAGAGGCAGGCCAACTTTTTTTTTTGAGATGGAGTTTTGCTCTTGTTGCCCAGGCTGGAATGCAGTGGCATGATCCTGGCTCACTACAACCTCTGCCTCCCATGTTCAAGTGATTCCCCTGCCTCAGCCTCCCAAGTAGCTGGGACTACAGGTGCATGCCACCATGCCCAGCTAATTTTTTGTATTTTAGTAGAGACAGGGTTTCACCATGTTGGCCAGGATGGTCTTGATCTCCTGACCTCATGATCTGCCCACCTTGGCCTCCCAAAGTGCTGGGATTATAGTTGTGAGCCACCGCGCCCAGCCCAACTTCTTTTTTTTTTTTTTTTTTTTTTGAGACGGAGTCTCGCTCTGTCGCCCAGGCTGGAGTGCAGTGGCGCGATCTCGGCTCACTGCAAGCTCCGCCTCCCGGGTTCATGCCATTCTCCTGCCTCAGCCTCCCGAGTAGCTGGGACTACAGGCGCCCACAACCGCGCCCGGCTAATTTTTTGTATTTTTAGTAGAGATGGGGTTTCACCATGGTCTCGATCTCCTGACCTTGTGATCCACCCGCCTCGGCCTCCCAAAGTGCTGGGATTACAGGCGTGAGCCACCGCGCCCGGCCCCAACTTCTTTTTAAAATGATTTCAGAGACGTGGTCTAGCTCTGTTGTCCAGGCTGGAGTGCAATGGTGTGATCATAGCTAATTGCAGCTTTGAACTCCTGGATTCAAGTGATCCTCCTGCCTCAACCTCCCCTAGTAGCTGAGTCTCCAGGCATGCGCCACCACGCCCCAGTAATTTTAAAAAATTTTTTTGTGGAGACCGGATCTTGCTGTGTTGCCCAGGCTGGTCTTGAACTCCTGGGCCCAAGTGATTCTCCCACCTCTGCCTCCCAAAATGCTGAGATTACAGCTATGAACCCACTGTGCCTGGCCCCCAACACCCTTCGACCAATTTTTGACACTTTCTTCTTCTTCTTCTAGTTTTTTTTTTTTGAGACAGAGTCTTGCTCTGTTGCCCAGGCTGGAATGCAATGGTGTGATCTCGGCTCACGGCAGCCTCTGCCTCCTGGGTTCAAGCAATTCTTATGCCTCAGCCTCCCGAGTAGCTGGGATTACAGGTGTGCCCCACCACTCCTGGCTAATTTTTGTATTTTTTTTTAGTAGAGACAGGATTTCACCATGTTGACCAGGCTGGTCTTGAACTCCTGGCTTTAGATGATCCACCTGCTGCAGCCTCCCAAAATGCTGTGATTAGAGGTGTGAGTCACAGTGCCCAGCTAGACGCTTGCTTCTTGGAGCTAGGATGACCGGGCTGGACAACTGGATGCTACTCCCTGAGGATTGGGGAGGGGGTTCTCCAAAGGGATACTGGAGCATGAGAGGGTGTTACTTCTGAGCAGAGCAGGCAGAAGCATCCCCAAGACCCCCTTTCTGCTCTTGGGACTCAGGTGTTGACCCAAGTGTCTTCTGTTCTTCAGACCAAGGTGACAGCACTGAACGGAAAGCCCGTGGGGGCTCAGTACCTGCCCAGCTACCTCTCCCTTGGAAGCTGGTACTCCCCCAGCCAGTGCTACCTGCAGCTACAGCCACCCTCCCACCCACTGCAGGTAAGATTTTCAGGTGCTGCCCTTCCTGGGCCATGCGGGATCCAAAAAGCAGCATGAGCCGGGTGCCGTGGCTCAACCTGTAATCCCAGCACTTTGGGAGGCTGAGGCGGGCGGATCACTGGAGGTCAGGATTTTGAGACCAGCCTGGCCAACATGGTGAAACCCTATCTCTACTAAAAATACAAAAATTAGCCAGGTGTGGTGGTGCGTGCCTGTAATCCCAGCTACTCGGGAGGCTGAGGCAGGAGAACTGCTTAAACCTGGGAGGTGGAGGTTGCAATGAACTGAGATCACACCACTGCACTTCAGTCTGGGTGACAAAGCAATATTCCTTCTCAAATAAAAAGCAGCATGAGTGAGCCTCTAAGGCAGCAGTAGTCAGCCTTTTGGGCACCAAAGATTAGTTTTGTGGAAGACCATTTTTCCACGGACCGGGGCACAGGTGCAGGGGATAGTTTCAGGATGATTCAAGGACATTATGTTTATTTTGCACTTTATTTCTATTATTATAGCGTTGCAATATATAAGGAAACAATGATACAATTCACCTTCATGTAGAAGCAGTGGTAGCCCTGAGCTTGTTTTCCTGCAACTGGACAGTCCCATCTGGGGGTGATGGGAGACAGTGACAGATCATCA